CACTGCAGTCAGACTGAACCTCATATAGACAAGCCTCGTGGGCTAGCTGGAATCTAGTTAGCTTGGGTACTAATAATAGTGAAGCTGGGATAACACAGGCTTCACCTGTTAAGTACACATTGATCCAAGCAGGCTGGTACAGCCCAGACTGTTGCAGCTTCACTGCTACTGCTATCCAGTCTAGCCAATTCAAGTATGCGTGCACATGCTGCAGTAGCTGCATCTCAGTTGCTGCATATTTACCATGGAGCCTAAATCTCATTGAAGGACCTTTTACCTGATACAAAGGGGTTAGATCAGAGATAAGTAACTCAAACAGTACTGTGTAGATAGACTTGCTGCATCCACTCTGTATGTGCCACCTCCCAAGACGGAAGTAATGTAGATGCCCAGGTATGAAACTTGGCACATGCCAATAAACTCTACAGAGCTTAAAAACTCTCTTGAATTTATTGGCATAGGTCCAGAGCCACAACGAGGTGACTACAGGACTTCCATTTTGGGAGGCAGCACGTATGGAGGGCTCGTATACCTATTTGCAGCACTCCTGGTACAGTACAAGGGCAGTGCAGATATCACCTAGGAGCCCCAGATGTGGTTAGGAGAAGAGTCTCCAGTGCAGGCACCAAAGATGACAACTGTAAGCTGGCCTTCTGAGGACCCTTTGCAAGCTTAAGGACAGAGGGTGTGTTGTAGGCAGAGATCTAACATATAATGCTGAGGTCCATAAAGCTGGAGGGATGCTTCATAACTTAACTATACAAGTCATGCCAGAATCCTCTCTAAGCCCTGAAGTAACTCAGGACTGGAAAGGTACACTAAGTGGCTCAAGCCTGTCCCTTGGGCCTTCCGCTGTGTGTGCTGAAAATTGTGGTTCCCTCCTCTTAGAAACATTAATTCAGATTCTCACCCTATTAGCAGGAATTTCTAAATCCCTCGTGGGCTCCACAGAAATTCAGTTACAGTGATCAGCCTCAGATCAGGATTAGGGTAAGAAGCCAACCATACATGAGTTACCACAGAAAAATATAAACCAGGAAAGGCAAAGCCACTGATTTCCAAAACCATATGGTCTATGCAGGGAGCTATTTCAAAATAATCTTTGTGCTTTAAATTCAGAATTTCCTGAACTATATTTCAAGTGCAGACCCCCCCCCCCCCCCCCCCATTCAATTCTGAAAATATGATTTAGGGGCATCTCTATACCTGAATGCTATTTCTGATGTTCTGCATGTATGGCCACTTATTTTGGAGCATGAGTGACAACCTGGGATGTTACCATGTCAGATATTTACTTAACTTTTAAAATTTTTAAGGGCTTGTCCAGCCATAGATGTTTTAGAAAACTTTATCCAACATGGTTACAAATGGATTATATTCTCTAGAAACAACTATAACTGTTTGACACTGAAGCCCTAACTCTTCTTCCCTCAACAAAAAGTTTGAGTTGTTAAAAGGCAGATCCCTGGATATGTTCAAGGAAGTGATATTTAATAACTTATTTGCATTTCAGAAAACTATGACTAATTAGGAATACAGAAAAATATTCTGACAAAAAATAGGTGCAATTTCTGCCAGCTATTTTTTTTCTTTTCTTTTTTTTTTTTAACTTGGCATTCACAGAATATCCTGATCACTGCAAACGCTTTTGCTACATCCATGTGTAAGAACAACTTATATTTATATAGCACCTTTTATTGTCAGGAAACCCAAAGGCTCTTTGCAAAATACACATAAGCGCTTACTTCAGTGTCACTGAAATGCAGCCATCACTGGATGAAATGCATCACACAACCAGTGCACAGGAACGTTACATAATGGTTTAAAACAAGATGCATGAACAACTGACACAATGAGCAGAACTGTAGATGGATGGAATACAGTTATCCAAACTGGAATTTGGCCAGGACTCCATCGTTAAGTTTTCAGGACAATTACCTTAGATGCAATCATCACATGTACCTCGTAATTACCTGAGAAACAGACTTCACACAAGTTTGGAGAATTGCTGCCTGTATTCTGAACTGTACAGGGTTCCCAAGTTAGTGTGGGTCAAACCATGAGGAGACTCTACAGCAGAAGAATAAACTGGGAGCTTTAGGTTTATTCTAGTGGTGAGGAAAGAAAGGTGGTTAACTGCATACAAGTTATTAGTAACACTTAACTGACCACAGAGATACTCTCATTATAAACGGTCTTATAGTTTTATAAAAGTCATTACACATGAAGACAATACATTCTTTTATTTAAAAAAAAAAAGACGTCTTGGTTTATCTGATGAGTTTTAATTCTCCATGGTAATGACACATAACTGGAATTCCCAGACTGAAATGAGATCATCTACGCTCTGTTTGTTGAAACCAAAGAAAAATTAACTCCATCACTTTAATCACTACTAAAGTCCCTACATACTCTATCATTAGCTGAGAGAGTCAGAGGTGGGAAATAAGAAACTGTTAGTTGAAAATAAAATTAACCGTAAAAGTCTTGAGAAAGAGGAGTGTGAGCAGCACCCAAACCTTGCTTACATGACAAGCCTGCTGATAAATATTCTACCCCATACAAGTCAAACACTTCTGGGTTGGCTAGCTGGCAAACATTATCCCTTTCCCATTATCCTGAGGAAGACAAGGAAGAAGATCAGGAATGATTAATTTGTAATCAACAAATTATTCGTATCTAGGTGCAGCTCAAGAGGGGGTGCGGTGGGGTGACTGCACCCCACTTTGGCTGTGCCACACATGAGCTGTCGGTGTGGAGCGGGGCCTGTGGTTTCAGGTAGCTCCAGAGCCCAGAGGAAGAATGCTGTTGCTGTTGCTCCTTTTCATCTTTCCCTGCTGCTGAATTCAGTAGAGAGGGGGAGAGTGAACATCAGCAGTCTTCACCCCCTGAAATTTGAAGCCATGCAAAAGCTGGGGTTCCTGCCAGACCCAACCCCGATCAGCTGATGAGCTCAGAGCTCATGCTAACCTCCAGTTGGAGCCTGTGTTGACCAGGCAGTGATCTCAGGGCTCACTATGCCTGTGCAGTACAGCCAAAGTGAGCGTGTGTGTGGGGCGGGGGGGGGTGGAACAGGGACCAACCCCCCATTCCCGGGTCTGCTATTGTCCATAGCTTTTCTTTTTTATCATTTTCATCTCCTCCTAGTATCCCAATAACACCAGGATTTCCTAGCTTGTGTATAGTTAACATTTTAAGCAACTGCTGGTTGAGATATCACATGCCATTGTATAAATTCACAGCAGATTATTCAGATCTGGCATACACTGGTTGTGAATAAAATAACCTTTTTTATTTTCATGAGAAGAAAGAAAGATTTAAAAACTGGCACAGGTGAGAAGAATCAATTTCATTTTTCCCCCCTAATGTGATCTCCCTGGTTCTACAATTCTCAGAACTTCAGCAAGGCTAGCAAGTTTGGGGACTTCACTGATAGCCTGCTGGTACTAGATCAGTGCAGGCAGACCAAGTTCACCCAGCAATGCTTCTGCTCCTAGTCTGACTAGATAATCTGATTTTATAATTTTAATATACATGGGTTCAAATCTGAGAAATTTCAGATCTGGATCTGGATTCTGAATCTCTTACAGTGGGGAATTTCCAGTCTGTTTTGGGTTAGTACAGAGATCTGGGTTCTGATTTTCTCCAAAATATGAGTATTTATGCTACTCCAGTAACCAGAACGGACTGTAAACTATCTGGATTTCCTTATCTGGTGGAACCCTTAGCTGGCATGAAGCTGACAAGCTGCTGCTGCCAGACCCTAGTGTGAGGAGGTTGGTGTTGATGGTATGCAATTAAAGCAACCACTTTTTTGTATCTTTTTCTTGACTATCTGATGAAGAGAGCTCTCTAACACTGTATTCAGATGAAAATGAGAAATTGACATATCCCCTCCTAAATATTTATACATCTGGTCGTGTCACAAACTTCCTATTAGCATTTATAACAATGACACAATAGACATGTCTAAAATTGATTCCAGGATTTGAAAACACTCCCATATCAGAGCTCATACAGCCCTCTCAATATATCTGGCATAATACTAGGCATTTGCAGCACAGAAAGAGGCAGCAAGGAAGTACATTACAGGCCACAATACAAGTTTCATGCTCCAGCACTTCTTAAGCCCTTCTTCCACCTCGTATTTCCAATTCCTCTTTTTATGTCCACTCATCCATCTTGCTTGCTCAGGCACATATTGGCCATAAAAATCCCATGTACATTTATTAACACCATGACACTAATGAAACCTTATATTTCTTATAGCCCCTAACTCCAGAGGCAACCCGTTTTAGAAACCTCATGGTGCTGGCTGAATCACCAAATCATAGGAATTTCTGTTTTCTTTTTAACTCAAAGAAAAACTTGACCATCTTTCTTTAATGCCATCAACCTGGAATCTTGACAGCAAGGATTAAAAATTGCTCCTTCCTTCCCACTTGGTTATTGGAAAGGCTGTGAAAGGTAATCAGTCTTGTGAAGCCACACTTTACAGTCTGCATAAAAATGCTATGATTCCCAGTCCTCTCCCCAACCTAATTGAAAGTGCATAATATCACACAGCTGGGGAAATGTAAACTGTAAACATATGCAATATATCAAACTATCATAAAAAACCTGTTACTAATAGGCACTTGGTGATCAGCAGAACCAAGAGGGATCTGAAAAAAGAGCCATTCTTGCTGCAAAATATGAACTTTTCCTGGCTGAAAGAAAAAAAAAAAAAGCACTCTCTCAGCAGCACAGGAATTGGAACGGAGGCAGTTCATTCATTCTGTCTGTGAAACATGGACCTTTCTATTTCACTGCTGCTTTGTATGGATGCTTGAGGGGTACTATTGGAGCAAATTCTGTTTTTCAGTTTAAGGGGTGTAAATCCAGAGTAAAGCCATTGTTTTCTATGCAGTATTTCAGGTGACTGGACAAACAAAACAAGCAAACAAAAATTAAAATCAGAGACTCTGTTACTGGTTTCAGCAACAAATGGGAATTTTTACCTGTCACCAGTAGCCTGTGGATGATGATGCTTGTTTATCTTTGCATAGAGTCCTTCCAAGTACTCTCTCTCTACTGGAACTTGTGGGCCATCACATGGGTATCCAAAGGTTTCTGTTACCAGTGGGGATGATGGTCTATAGACATTTGCTACAGGGTAAACCTCCCTGAAATGATTTACTCTGGCATAATTTGGGTCCATCTCATCATCATCAATATCAGGTCCTCCAGGGCTGGTGGAGTAATCAGCTAGCCCTCTGGCCTGTTTTTGCCGTAACTCCTGATGCTTTGCACCAATCCTAAAAATGAAAAGAAGAAAAGCTTGAATTTACGCCAGGAGCAACAGTAAAACACTGACTCATCAAGCAGAATTTGCAAGACACTTCTCTGCCATGCTGAACGCAAATTATCTGCATAGTCCTTCAACGGAGCCAAATGCCAAATGTCAGTTGCAACTGCAAGTTACATCCAGAGATTTTTTATTCCATTCCTCTAGCATGCATCTTTATAATGAGAAGAGTTATCATTCTGCCAAGATGAATGGGAAGTAACATTTTTCCTAGGCATTTGTGTGGAGAGGCTGTTGTTGTGTGCTTGCACACAGTTGTGATCACACACACCTGCCTCTCAACAGTTTTATTACATCTCAACACAGCATAGGCTTAAATATCTAACCAAGTCTTCCAACTTTTCATTCAAATTAGCCAATAAAAAGATTATTACCTCTATGGCCACTTGACCCACCCAGCTTCTTCTAAATAAATTAAGTTGTGAAAAGTGGATTAAACATGAACATAAATGTGAAGGTGGCATAGTTGTCTAAAACAAGGACCAGAAGCAATTTGCTTGAGATTTAATTTTTTCCTACATAAATGGGGGACATCGTGGCTCATTATATAGGGGACAGGGACAGAGTAAAACAGAGACGAAATTAATAGAATCCTGACAGAGATGAATTGGTACATATAAGTGAATTAAAGACTATTACTGGCAGTACTTCACTGTGATAACGCCTTAAGTGGTATTACAAAATGCTGCTGCTAATCAGAGCCATTGTGTAATCTGTTGGGAATAGGGATGGTAAAACATATTCAGGTAAATTTCAAACCCAGCTGAATGTCAATGATTTAACATTTGCTCTGGAAACAAAAACTTGAATAAGGTTCTATGAGTGTGCAATTTCTGTTAAATATTCAGTGACTCCTTAAGATAACGTTATCAAACACAGTGAGAAGGATCAAGACTGAATTCTGACCACTGTAGGAGGCAATACCTCAAACTAAATGGCATTTATGACACTGGAAAGGACAAAATTGAAGAAAACACATATCACACATACTAGCTGCCATTAAAAGTTAATGTCCAACTACTGTTACCATATCTGAAATAAAATACCACTTCATTATACCTGATCAGTATATTGAATGTATAGCAAGAATAGTAGGAGACCATTAATGGGGTGAAACAGACTTTGATGCCAACTATGGTGGATCACGGTGTGTTCAAAGTGAACGGAAATGATAAATGGATATGTACAGAAAATTTTTTTGGGAGATCTTGGAAGAGATGGAGCCCTGGAAATAAGACAACCTGAGCACATAAAAACAATTTCTAACTAAACTTACCCTATTTATCTTTCGCAAAAGATAAGTATTTTAAAATCTACTAGATTATATTATTGTATTTACTTGAATATAAGATGACCGCCCAATAATTAGATTCTACACATGGAAAAATTATAAATTTGTTATAATTTTCCATGTATATAATCTAATTATTGGAGGTTTCCCTTGAATTTATCCCCCTCTCACTGCTACAGCAGGGACAATAAATCTGGGGGGGCAGGGGATGGACTCAGGTGACCCCCTTGCCCTCTGCTCCCCCTCTTCTTCCCCCTAAAGCCCTTTCCCCCTCTACTTACTGTCAGACCCTGAGCACATAGAAACATGGGAAAAATCTGAAAACAATGACCTTGAAATAATCATACCTAAATAATCATAATTATGTGTAGGCAGTTCACACAGAATTGATGCATTTTACCTTTTCTGAAACTGCTGCAAGTTTGAATACATATATGCCATAAACACACTTTTAAGGAGCAATTTTGTACCTACTTACGTATAGTACAAACTTTGCATGATATTAGTTCAAAGCCAAAAGGCTCATGATTTACCAGAAAGTTCATTGGGCTGGGCCCCAGCAAAGTCAACAGCATTTCAAGCCATGTTAATCCCACATTTCAGCACTGCCTGGTTATATATGTACTCCAGATACCATCCCCACAAAGGGTCCATGCATTAGTTACCACTCCACCCCCCCCACCCACTCATGACTGGAACCAGGTGCTCTTGTCAGAAGTCCTGGGATACTCCAAAATTTTATACACAAATGAGGTGCAGGGCAACCCGTTGTGGCTCCACCTCATGGAGGGCAGGGCCACACTAATCACATGCGACAGGCTGAAAGAGCGGGCAACAGAGGGATTTTGGGTGAACTGCGTGGGACCTGTTTGGTGATGTCTGCCAAATATTTAAGGCTGGTAAAGACACAGGAACAATTGGAAGTAGGAAAGAAAGGTGCAGATAGCTGTGGGAATGAAGGGGAAGTTGAAATGTATTCAATTTAGTGGCTCACCATGACTGGAAAAAAGAGTTGGCGCTGACAGGGACTGCATGCAATGGGCACTACCATATATTATATTTAGATGTGTTGCATTAACCTTTCTTTGTGGTAGGTTCCCATCTGTATGTTTGCCCGATATGGGCCATATGTTTTCCAGTCATGCTAAGTGTTGTTGCATTTAGTCAGCTTCATAGTTGGCTTCCATAACTGAGCACATGCTGCTTTTGGCAGTAGTTTAATGATAGACAATGTATTTAATGATGTTTTCTTGTATGTGAATGTAAGAGGGGCCTTTCTCCTCATGCTGATTGGGGAAGAAAAACCTCATCTTGTATTTGAGTAAATATGGCAATATGTAAGCAGCAATCTTTCAAGACCTTTCCCGAGTATAGACCAAGACTCTATTATGGTATAATAAGTAGTATGATGACCATACTTGCAATTTCAAACCCAAAACACATCTAGCAGTGATAAGGGTGCTGTAGATGGGAGCATTAGTAGGTATCAGAACTGTGCAGGCAAAGATTTTGGCAACTCCATGCGAGTAGAAAGGAAGAAAGGATGTTTACTCTCTCCCTTCCCTCAACCCCCCACTTCTTTCTCAGCTAAATAGCAATCTTTAAATCCTGCACCCCCCCTTCCCTTCAAAATAAAACAAACATGTTAATGTAACAGATGGGTCAAATAAAAATACCTTTTTGTGTTCCCATTTTTTCCATAGTTATTTAAATCCCATTCCATTTACTGTATTTTTAAAAATAGTTTATCTTCAGATGCTGCTATTTTTATTAATTTTTAATATTCTGATGGAAGGAAAAACAGGAAGAAAGAAGTTGTGATCCTACTATGGTCCTAAAACTTTTTAGATCTTCTGTTCTCATTTTCTATGTTTTTATTTTCTCTTCTGAGTTTTCATCAGGCTCTTTTTCTCCTGCTCAACCTCTACTTTTCTCACTTTATCCTTCAGTCTATTCTTCTTTTTTTTCCCCCTCCTCTCACTGTGCCATACACACTCACTCAAATGCTAGCTCAGGTGAGCAGCCATCTGTGGTTGCTGGTAATGTGGCTGAGCACTTCATAGCACTGCTAGGATTCAGGATAAGTTTTTGATTCTTTATGAATTCTAGTTCTATGTACAGAGATTTCACTGAGCAGTCTCATGGAGGGCATGTCACGGTGTTAACAGATGATAGATTTGGTCAGCAAGGCACATATGCTTTCACTTATCTTGCTGTCAATTTCAGTGGCTTGACTGGATGATGGCTCTTTCTGGATTACCAGAAATTGACAGGATTTGGAAACAGTGGGAGAAAAGCCTGTCATTTTTCCAAAATAAATAAAACAACAACAACAACAACAAGATACAAAGGGACAGGGACATTGGGATAAACCTTGAGAAAAGGGACATTCCTTAACTCAGGGACACTGTCATTCTGGAGTGGGCAGAAAAGCAAACATGAATATAGGGCTATAAATAAGTACAAATGAAAACAAACCCTAACAGGCAGTTGTTGACTTTCATTTCTATACTGCAGCATCTAAACCATAAACCAGCGCTAACACAGGAATAATTAGTGACTAGATGGAAATATGCAAAAGCCTTCATCCTCCAAGGATTCCTGAATCAAGATAAAAGAAAAATTACATAGCAGGGAGAGATGGGGGGGGGGAGGGGAGGGACGGGGACCCAGACAGTCTGTGCCAGTGCCTGACAGAACAAATTCACCAATATTTATATAAAATAATTTTGGGAAAGCTATCACCTGATCCATTTGTGCAACAAAACAACCTTCCCAGGGAGAGTGCAATCTATGGACCCCCACTTCCAGGGAAGGTTGCTGTACTACAAAGACAGCTATGCATTTCTATTACAAATAGATCTGCAGACTTCAATACAGTAGGGGAGGGAGGTCTGTATTGCTGATTTCCATCTTTTATACATAAAGGGCCTTCAAAAGAAATCATCTTGCAGAAAGATTAATATTTTATATGCCCCACATGGAAAATATGGTTAGAAATGTAAAGACAAAGATACTTTGTTTAAAAAACAAAACAAAACAGAAAGAGCTGATACTTGTAGAACCCAGCCACTCCCTTCAATCATTCCCTCCCTGTTGTCCTGTCTTTCTTTTATTAAAGGATTATATGGCAATTTGAGATTACTACTACTACTCCTCCAAACTCTGAAAAGTGCTGAATGTTGACAAACATCTCCAGAAAATGGACTTCGTTTTCACTTCATGAAAAATGGCCAGTGCCCACTAGTATCAGTGAGGTGCACCTATTTGCCCCAACTGAAGATCTAGCTCAGTGGTTCCCTATGTTTCTGTGCAGTGATCAGCTCTTCTAACACAAGCCCAAGTGCTAGAATTGAATGTTTGTGGGCCTCATGATCCCATCTGCAAGTGCCACAACTGCAATTAGGGTCACAGTTCCCAGTTTGGAAAGTAACCCAATCTCATTATGGTCAACATCAGGGAATTTCTACTGCTATGTGTAGAGATAACAGGGAACCTCAAAGATGTGCTAGCAGTCTCACTGGGCTGGTGTGAGACAACTTAAGAAGTAGCACATAATAGTCTCTAGGGTGACTATATGGTATAATTTAAAATTTGGGATGCTGTCAGACTGTCTGCTCCACCCCGCCCCTCCACTGCTGCAAGCAGCAGGGAGTCAA